AGGGTTTGGAGAGAATGAGGGATATATATATAGTGGAGGGAAAATTAGGGTTTGTGTTGTATGTTGGGCCCAACATTGGGCTTTTAATTAAATTGACTTAGACTTGAATAATCGGGCTTCAAAGTTTCTAAAATCGGGCCTTTAAATCCTAGAATTGGGCTAGAAATTACCGATCATTGACTTAGGCAAATAAATGCTCGGATAAAATTAGTCGGACTTGGACTAATTAAATTAGTCAGTCGAATATTACTAGAATAAATTGGCTCGAAAAACCGAATTAGGCCAAAATAAAATCAAACATAGGCTCGATTGACTTAAATGGGTCGGCTAAAATAATTGAACTCACTCGAACTCGATTAGGCTCGAATAATTAAATTATTCGGCTTCGATAAGCTTTACTAGAATCTCGATTAATCCAAGGCTCGATTTCAAAATACAACCGATACTTGGGCTAGATAAATCCGCCTTTAATAAATAAAATCGAATAACTTCTCCATGGCTTAGACTTTAATACTAATTATTTAATCTAATGAAAATAAATACAATACATGCATCAAATTTAGAAACTTAATATTTATGGAAATAAAGTCGAGCTCCATAAATAGAAAATAATATACTGGGCGTTACAAAGTACATGAATATCGAGGAGGCAGAAGCCTACTTCCTACAAGCGGCGAAGGCGAAAACTGAACCCCGAGACGAGAAGAAGGATAAAATGGCAAACCCGTCAGGAGAAAGGAGAGGATCCCTAAATGCAAAGAGGGAGGGACGATCTAGGGGATGGAGACCGACTCAATACACCCCCTTGTCGGTCCCGCAAGCAAGAATATTGGAAGTAATGGAAAAATAGATCCATGACAATGTCGTCAGATGGCCCAAGACGAGGAAGGATGGACCAATGAAGCCCAAGAGCAACCTGTATTGTCGGTTTCACAAAGATTATGGGCACAACACCGACGATTACAGGCACCTCAAAGACGATATTGAAAGGTTAATCAAAGCAGGGCATCTGAAGGAGTTTATCTATAAGGATCGAGAAAGGACCAGTTGGCGAAAAGAACGAAGCAGGAGCCCCGCAAGAGGGAGAGAACACCTGAGAAGGAGGAGCTCCCCCAGAAGAAGGGAGTGTTTCACATGATATTCGGTGGGCCGATCAATGGAGACTCGAATCGAGCCAGGAAGGTGTATGCTCGAGGTCGACACGCGACATTCGAGATACAACAGGTAGAGGAGAATGGTCCTGTGATGAATTTTGGGCCAGCAGATGTAGGGGAGGTCGAGAGGCCTCACAATGATGCCCTAATGATAACTGCCCAGGTGTCGGGCTATGAGGTACAAAGAGTTTTTGTCGACACAGGGAGTTCAACGAATGTGATCTTTTATGAATGCCTCAAGAGGATGGAGCTCGATATACAGCTCACACCCCTGCACACGTCTTTCTTTGGATTCAATGGTTCGGAGGTCACGCCCCTGGGAGAGACTAGGCTCGCTGTCGTCTTAGGGAAGGGCGACTTAAGGAAAGTGAAAATGGTGAGATTCGTAGTAGTTGATGTCGAGTCAGCTTACTACGTGATCCTGGGGAGGCCTGCACTTAATGCATTTTAGGCTGTGGTATCGACTTACCATATGAAGCTAAAGTTCCCTATCGGAGATCGAGTTGGAGAGGCTCGGGGCGACCAAAAACTATCAATAACTTGATATCAAATTGCGGTGAAAACCAACCAGCGGGCTGAAATCAGAGATGAAAAAAACCGATCACGAGTGAAAAGAGGCCGAGGGGGAGTGACCTCGAGCCACATGGAGAACTAATGGAGATCCAAATCGGAGAGAGGGAGGACCAGACCACTAAAGTCAGAAAGGATTTGGAGGACGAGTTGCGAAATCAACTTATCGCATTACTAAAGGAGTTCAGAGATATATTTGCTTTCACTCCAGAAGAATTGACGGGGATCGACCCTAGAATCATGGAGCACAAACTCAATCTCGACCCCCTCAGAAAGCCAGTGAAGCAGCGACCCAGACACCATGGTGTAGTAACCGACAAAGCCATAGAAGTCGAGGTGGACAAATTGCTGCGAGCAGGACGCATCAAAGAAGTATAATTCCCAGAGTCGATATCCAACACAGTAATGGTGAGGAAGGCACTAAATAAATGGCGCATGTGCATCGACTTCCGCGACTTGAACCTAGCATGCCCGAAAGATCATTATCCTTTGCCTAGGATCGATGAGCTAGTCGACTCCACAACTGGTTACGAGTTATTAAGTATGATGGATGCGTCTCAAGGGTACTACCAAATTCCCTTGGCCCCGGAGGACCAAAGTAAAGTTAGTTTCGTGACGAGCAAAGGGACATACTGTTATGTCGTCATGCCCTTTGGACTCAAAAATGCGGGGGCGACTTATCAGAGATTGATGGATCAAATGTTCAAATCGTAGATTGGGCGTAATATGGAGGTGTACGTGGATGAAATTCTGGTAAAAAGCAGGTCATCGACGACGTATGCTAACGACTTAAGAGAAACATTCTCAACACTCAGAGCATTTGGGATGAAGCTGAACCCAAGTAAGTGCGCCTTCAGAGTAAAGGCGGGAAGATTTCTCGGCTATGATGTAACGGAGAGAGGAATCGAGGTAGACAACGAAAAGGTGAGAGCCATACTCGACATGGCACCACCAAGAAACATTAGGGAGGTGCAGGTCCTGACGGGTAGAATTGTGGGATTGAGCAGATTCATTGCTCGAGCAGCCGAGAGGAGTTTTCCATTCTTCAAATTGCTCAAGAAAAACACAACTTTCCAGTGGAGTGACGAGGCTCAAATGGCGTTTGAAAAGCTGAAAGAATTTCTGAGCGTGCTACCTCTACTGACAAAACCCGAGCCCAGTGACGAGTTGGTATTGTACATCTCAGTTGGAGTATTTTCATTGTGTTCAGTATTACTGCGAGAAGGAGGGGCCCAACAGTCGATTTATTACACCAGTCGAGTACTCCAGGGTGCGGAGGTGAGATATTCAGAAGTCGAGAAAGCTTCTTTAACACTGGTGATAATGGCTATAAAGTTGAAGCCGTATTTTCTAAATCATGTGATAGTGGTAAGAACAATCTTTCTACTCGGAGAGTCCTTGGGTTGATCTATTTATGTCTCGGGTCGGCTCGTGAAGTGGGCGATCGAGTTGAGCGAATACTCCGTCAGATATGAGCCCAGACGAGCCACAAAAGCTCAGGCTTTGGCAGACTTTATCCAAGAGGGCACCAAGGGAGAAGAAAAGAAATGGACCATTTATGTCCATGGATCCTCTGCGGCCAAAGGATCTGGTTTGGGAGTCGTCCTTGTGTCTCCCGAAGGCGAGCAGCTCGACTTTGCCATCAGAATGGGGTTCAAGGCCTCGAACAATGAAGCAGAGTATGAGGCACTAATCAAAGGAATTTAACTTGGAATTGGTGGAGGAGCAACGGAAATCACAGCTCACTCCGACTCACAACATATCGTGGGACAGGTATTGGGAAATTGCGAAACAAAGGAGGATAAAATGCTGAGATATGTCGAGGAGATTCAAAACCTTATACAAGGCCTGGAAAAATTTGAGTTAACACATGTCCCACGAGAGGAGAACAAGCGAGCCGACTGGCTCGCGAGGATTGCAAGTTCCAATGAAGAAAAGATAGGAGGTCACATTACAACGATGCACTTAGAAGGAAGTGTGTTGGGCAAGACAATGGAAGTCGACGAGAAGGATGATTGGAGGAAGTCGATTCATGAACTCTTGCAGGGACAAGTGCCTGCAGAAGATAAACAAGAGGCAGAAAAGGTCACTCAATACCTAAGTAAGTATTTGAGGTCGATGGGGTCTTATATAAGAAGTCGTTAGTCAGGCCCCATCTGCGATGCATTTCTGAGGAAGAAGGAATTCATATCCTTAGAGAAATCCACGAAGGATGCTGTGAAGCACACGTAGGCTCTCGAGCTCTGACTGGGAGATCCCTACGGGCGGGCTACTATTGGCCTAAGGTTCGAGCAACGACAGAACAGTTAGTCCAGAAATGCGAAAAATGTCAGCGCCACGGGCAGATCACCCACGTCCCAGCCAAATATATGACGACGATCAACTCTCCAATCCCTTTTTCTCAATGGGGAATCGATTTGGTGGGCCTATTGCTGATGGGAACGGGGCAGAGAAAGTTCTTGGTAGTCGCGGTCGACTACTTCAGCAAATGGGTCGAGGCAGAGCCCTGGGCGCGAATCACCGAAGAAAAAATGATACAGTTCCTATTCAATAACATTTGCTGTTGATTTGGAATTCCAAAAGTGCTAATCTCGAACAATGGAACTCAATTCCAAGGGAAACGGATCCAGGCATGGTGCCTCGACATGAGGATTAAACAGCGATTTGCCTCAGTCGCGTACCCTCGGGCAAATGGCCAAGTCGAAGTAACAAACAGAACCATTCTCCAAGGGTTGAAGAAGCGATTTGAGAAGGCGTCGGGAGCTTAGATTGACGAGCTAACAACGGTCCTATGGGCTTATAGGATGACTCCAAAAAGCTCAACAGGCAGTCTCCATTTCACATGGTTTATGGAATGGATACACTCCTGCCCATCGAAGTCGGCTTGAACTCTCACAGGTCGACATTCTATGAGGAAAAGAAAAACAAGGAAATGGTTGAGGAAGCCCTCGACCTGGTTGAAGAGGGGCAAGAAGAAGCGTGGGTGCGATCCGTCGAGTATAAGAAGAAGATGCGCGCAGCTTTCGATAAGGAAGTTCGAACTAGACGATTCCAAGTGGGGGATCTCATCCTCAAACGAGCAGACGCTCTCAAGCATGTCGGGAAGCTTGAAGCTAATTGGGAAGGACCCTACACTGTCACAAAAGTGCTCGAGAGAAGCGCATATGAACTCGATGATGGGGAAGGTTGACAGCTGCCGCGGTCTTGGCACGTGATCCACATGAAACGTTTTTATGCTTAATGCAATATTTCACACTCCTTTTTGTACTGAACAATGTTCAAATCGAATTCAGTAATGAAATGAATCTCAAGTTTATGCTTCAATTATGTCTTTTACATTTATATGTCAACCTTATTATGATTACTTGAAAAACAGAATTTTTCGAAACGGCTATGTAGCCGACTAACTTCAATGAATACGAAGTCGATTTAAAACAACTACGAAGTTGTATTTCGAGTGGAATCTCGAATAGGCTACGAAGCCTGCGACTACAAATTCGATTTAAAACAACTACGAAGTTGTATTTCGAGTGGAATCTTGAATAGGCTACGTAGCCTGCGACTACGACGCCAATTTAAAACAACTACGAAGTTGTATCTCGAGCGGAACCTCGAGCAGGCTACGAAGAGGACTAAACAACTACGAAGTTGTACTCTCGAGCGGAACCTCGAGCAGACTACGAAATCGACTAGCACAACTACGAAGTTGTACTCTTAAGAGGAACCTCGAGCACGCCACGAAGCTTATAGCTGCGAGATTGATTTACACAGCTATGAAGTTGTTACATTTGAACGAAATCCCATATATGCCATACAAACAACTTAAAACATATCCACAAAAAATATATATCAAGATAGTGGTGAAACTAAGGACATAACCCGCTAAATGCAACTACGACTGCCAGCTATGAAGCTGCTAAAATCGTTGCTCGACTTCGACCAGCTCGCAAGAAGGGTTGGGGAGAAGACGAGTTGAAAAAACTTGTTTATTAGCTATGAAGCTGCTAAAATCGTTGCTAGCCTTCAACCAGCTCGAAAGAAGGGTTGGGGAGAAGACGAGTTGAAAAAACTTGTTTATCAGCTATGAAGCTGCTAAAATCGTTGCTCGCCTTCGACCAGCTCGCAAGAAGGTTCGGGGAGAAGACGAGTTGAAAAAACTTGTTTATCAGCTATGAAGCTGCTAAAACCATTGCTCGACGTCGACCAGCTCACAAGAAGGGTTGGGAGAATATATAGGGAAACAACAAGATCAAACACATACAAATAAGCTCAGTATCAGCCAGGAGCGAGTAAAGGATAGCCGGATGGAAGCTAAAATAATAGCAAGACGACTCGGAATATAAACATCCAGAGCAATCTGAGGATGATAAAAGAAAGTTGATAAAAGAACAAACTAGCGACGAATTAAAAAAGATAGCATTATATTAGGTAAACAAGTTTATTACATCCAAAACCATCTCGACCTTTAAAACCTCAAAAAATAGGTCGAGTATGCCAACAAAAAGGAAAAAAAAGTAGGTAACTAGCAAAACAAACATCGCAGCAATCTAGCCTAAGAGTCGGCAGTTGACTTTTCAACAGTATTCTCATTCTCGTTGTTCACAGGCTCAGTCCCAGCACCCTCTCCCTCAACGGGCTCTGTCCCTTGCTGCTCATCCGGTCGCTTGACCTTCATCTCCTCGTCGACTTCCCCCTCCTCCTCGTGATCAGCTTCACTTGGCCCGACTAATTCTGTCGGACCAGCCAAAGGGGAAGGAGGGACCTCGAGTTGGGATGAAATCCCAGCCAAGTGGATGGACTTTGCCTCGAGGCTGATCC